AAAAGGGGGGGGTTGGCCTGTACATTGCAGAGTCACTTGTTTGCACAGAACTGCTTAATGCCTCAAATGACGTAGTGGAAGTTTTAGCAGTAAAGGTCGAGAACCAAAACCTAGTCATTGTGGTAGTCTACAAGCCTCCGGATGCAACATCCCAGCAATTCCAGGAACAGCTGTTAAAAATTGACCACTGTCTGGAAAATCTTCCAGCTTGTTCTATCTAGGCTGGAATATTGCTGCACTCTAACAGCACCTTTCAAGGCAGGTGAAATTGCCGACCTAGAAAATGTACAGAGAACTTTCACGGCGCGCATAACGGAGATAAAACACCTCAATTACTGGGAGCGCTTGAGGTTTCTAAACCTGTATTCCCTGGAACGCAGGAGGGAGAGATACATGATTATATACACCTGGAAAATCCTAGAGGGACTAGTACCGAACTTGCACACGAAAATCACTCACTACGAAAGCAAAAGACTTGGCAGACGATGCACCATCCCCCCAATGAAAAGCAGGGGTGTCACTAGCACGTTAAGAGACCATACAATAAGTGTCAGGGGCCCGAGACTGTTCAACTGCCTCCCAGCACACATAAGGGGGATTACCAACAGACCCCTGGCAGTCTTCAAGCTGGCACTGGACAAGCACCTAAAGTCAGTTCCTGATCAGCCGGGCTGTGGCTCGTACGTTGGTTTGCGTGCAGCCAGCAGCAACAGCCTGGTTGATCAGGCGCTGATCCACCAGGAGGCCTGGTCACAGACCGGGCCGCGGGGGCGTTGACCCCCGAAACTCTCTCCAGGTAAACTCCAGGCTCCTGCACCCAACATCTTGCTCCTGGGGGATTTCAACTTAAGGCACCTAAAATGGAGGAATATAGCAAATAATATTGTTGCAGTAATAACACCAGGAGGCAGCTCTGATGAAAACTCACACTCACACGAGCTTTTAAATCTCTGCACAAAATTCAATTTAAACCAGCAAATAATAGAGCCTACTAGACTGGAGAATACACTAGACCTCATATTCACTAACAATGATGATCTGATAAGAAATGTCACCATATCAAAAACAATATACTCAGATCACAACATAATTGAGGTTCAGACATGTATGCGAGGAGCCCCAGACCGACAAAATGAGACTAGTCACGAGGGAGCATTCACCAAATTCAACTTCAATAACAAAAACATAAAGTGGGACCAAGTAAACCAAGTCCTAACCGATATAAGCTGGGAAGATATACTAAGCAACACAGACCCAAACTTATGCCTAGAACAGATTAACTCGGTGGCACTCGATGTATGCACAAGGCTTATTCCTCTAAGAAAAAGGAGGAGTAGATGTAAAATAGAAAGAGACAGGCGCTCCCTTTACAGGCGACGGAAAAGAATAACAGAGCGGCTAAAAGAGGTCAATATATCTGAAATGCGCAGGGAGACACTGATCAGAGAAATAGCAAGCATTGAACATAAGCTAAAAGAATCCTTTAGGAGTCAGGAATCGCGGGAAGAACTAAAAGCTATAAATGAAATCGAAAGAAACCCAAAGTATTTCTTCTCCTATGCCAAATCAAAATCGAGAACAACGCCCAGTATTGGGCCCCTACTTAAACAAGATGGGTCCTACACAGATGACAGCAAGGAAATGAGTGAGCTACTCAAGTCCCAATATGACTCAGTTTTTAGCAAGCCGCTAACCAGACTGAGAGTCGAAGATCAAAATGAATTTTTTATGAGAGAGCCACAAAATTTGATTAACACAAGCCTATCCGATGTTATCCTGACGCCAAATGACTTCGAACAGGCGATAAATGACATGCCCATGCACTCTGCCCCAGGGCCAGACTCATGGAACTCTGTGTTCATCAAGAACTGCAAGAAACCCCTATCACGAGCCTTTTCCATCCTATGGAGAGGGAGCATGGACACGGGGGTCGTCCCTCAGTTACTAAAAACAACAGACATAGCCCCACTCCACAAAGGGGGCAGTAAAGCAACAGCAAAGAACTACAGACCAATAGCACTAACATCCCATATCATAAAAATCTTTGAAAGGGTCCTAAGAAGCAAGATCACCACCCATCTAGAAACCCATCAGTTACACAACCCAGGGCAACATGGGTTTAGAACAGGTCGCTCCTGTCTGTCTCAACTACTGGATCACTACGACAAGGTCCTAAATGCACTAGAAGACAAAAAGAATGCAGATGTAATATATACAGACTTTGCAAAAGCCTCGACAAGTGTGACCATGGCGTAATAGCGCACAAAATGCGCGCTAAAGGAATAACAGGAAAAGTCGGTCGATGGATCTATAATTTCCTCACTAACAGAACACAGAGAGTAGTCGTCAACAGAGTAAAGTCCGAGGCAGCTACGGTGAAAAGCTCTGTTCCACAAGGCACAGTACTAGCTCCCATCTTGTTCCTCATCCTCATGTCCGACATAGACAAGGATGTCAGCCACAGCACCGTGTCTTCCTTTGCAGATGACACCCGAATCTGCATGACAGTGTCTTCCATTGCAGACACTGCAAGGCTCCAGGCGGACATCAACCAAATCTTTCAGTGGGCTGCAGAAAACAATATGAAGTTCAACGATGAGAAATTTCAATTACTCAGATATGGTAAACATGAGGAAATTAAATCTTCATCAGAGTACAAAAAAAATTCTGGCCACGAAATAGAGCGAAACACCAACGTCAAAGACCTGGGAGTGATTATGTCGGAGGATCTCACCTTCAAGGACCATAACATTGTATCAATCGCATCTGCTAGAAAAATGAAGGATGGATAATGAGAACCTTCAAAACTAGGGAGGCCAAGCCCATGATGACAATCTTCAGGTCATTGTTCTATCTAGGCTGGAATATTGCTGCACTCTAACAGCACCTTTCAAGGCAGGTGAAAAGCCGACCTAAAAATGTACAGAGAACTTTCACGGGCGCATAACGGAGATAAAACACCTCAATTACTGGAGCGCTTGAGGTTTCTAAAACCCGTATTTTCCCTTTGGAAGCAGGAGGGAGAGATACATGATTATATACACCTGGAAAATCCTAGAGGGACTAGTACCGAACTTGCACACGAAAATCACTCACTACGAAAGCAAAAGACTTGGCAGACGATGCACCATCCCCCCAATGAAAAGCAGGGGTGTCACTAGCACGTTAAGAGACCATACAATAAGTGTCAGGGGCCCGAGACTGTTCAACTGCCTCCCAGCACACATAAGGGGGATTACCAACAGACCCCTGGCAGTCTTCAAGCTGGCACTGGACAAGCACCTAAAGTCAGTTCCTGATCAGCCGGGCTGTGGCTCGTACGTTGGTTTGCGTGCAGCCAGCAGCAACAGCCTGGTTGATCAGGCGCTGATCCACCAGGAGGCCTGGTCACAGACCGGGCCGCGGGGGCGTTGACCCCCGAAACTCTCTCCAGGTAAACTCCAGGTAAACTATGGAGGTAAGGCTTATTGGTCTATAGTTCGAGGCCAAGGACCTGTCACCTGCCTTGTAAATATGTATTAAATTTGCCATTTTCCACTTATCAGGCACTATGCCAGTTTGTAGTGATATGTTAAAAAGATTAGCCAAAGGTATGCTAGGTTCCTCTTTACATTCCTTTAACACCCTTGCAAACAGTTCATCAGGACCTGGGGATTTGTTAGGTTTTAGTTTCTCTATTTGTCTGAGGACCATGTCACTAGTTACCACAATCGTGCATAGTTTATTATCATCCTGTTCTACATAATCTATTACTTCAGGAATATCGCTAGTATTTTCCTGCGTAAAAACCGAGAGGAAGTAGGTATTGAGAATTTCACACATACCTTTGTCACTGTCAGTTGATCTGACCAGATACTCTTAAGTGGGCCAATCTTGTCCCTAATCTTACTTCTGTATACCTGAAAGAACCCTTTTGGGTTTGTCTTTGAATTCCTTGCGACCTTAGCCTCATAATCCCTTTTTGCTTTTTTTATTCCTTTCTTTATTTCTCTCTTTAACTGAATAATATTGATTTCTTAACTGCCCATCCTCTCTTTTGATACGCCTATATATGCCTCTCTTTTGACCAATGAGATGTTTTAATCTATTGTTCATCCATTTGGGATCATTTTTGTTAGATCTAATTTCCCTACTCGGAACAAAAGGTGTCTGGGCAGCTAGAACTACAGTGTACTTTTAATTCTTAATCAAGGAACTAAATTATTTTTGATGTTAGTACTGGTGGCTCGTAGCTACCTGCTGGTCTATACTTAAAAAAAGGAAAACAGCATTAAAAACCAATGGATTAATTCATGGTCCTTGACTTTATCAAGTCATATTGCAATAATCTGCATAATGTGCTATATGCCCATAACGTTATTAATGAAAATAAGATACCAGATATACTAAGCAAATTTCCTAAATTTGCTTGTAACAGATAAGTGAACTATAGATATGTAGATATAAATCCATATGTATTCCTGTTAACCCTTTGGGGCCTAGTTCCTAGGCCTTTTGTGTATCCATATACTCTCGCGCTACCGTCCACAGGATGGATATGACCTGCACAATAAACTAGCCACTTCGGTGGCAAAATCTAAATCTAATCTGCCCATAACGTGTCATTAAATCCACAGCAATGAACATCAACCAATGTTTATAAATCCTAAATAAAATTTACTAGCACAGCCACAGACTTTATAAACAATGATAATATCTGATAAACATTTTATTTACAACAGCTGAATATGAAAAAAGAACAAAGTTGTATAATGTAGGCCTTAGATACCATAGGTTACAACAGTGGTTTTATGATATCAACCTGATTACATAATTTATTTATTAATAAAATAGAGTATTATAATTTTGAAATAGTAGTTTTAAGATTTTTACAAAATAATTGACTAATAATAAACAACCAATGGGTGATGGTAAGCAGTAGTCACGTGGAAAGTATTTCAACTAATTACCATTTATAAAAAGTTCCTCAATATAGACTTAAAAATATAAAAATCAAAATGTTATTGAAAAAAAGCAATTGTAAGTCGGAGCCAGAGGAGAGTATCGGATACGTGGTACAAGATGTCTTACCTACAGACTCAGGTCATCAGCCACACTCGTAAGGTTTGTTCTCTATATAAGAGAGCTCTGAGGAACACTGAAGCATGGTATGATAGTCGGTGAGTTATCCCCACTCATTTTAATGCGAGTTATTTAGAGATATTTATGGAGGGTGTTGGTGGGGGGAGGGAAGCCTCGGGTGTCCTCTGATGGTTATTATTATTTTATTAACAAAAATGTCTTGTGGTTTGTAACGTAAGGAGTATATTTGAAGACTGTTGTGTGGGATTGCCCACGGGTATGAAATAAAACAATAAATAATGGTTTTTATATTTTGCTTAGGTCAAAAAGTGAGGAAAGGTATTTCTTATTTAGTTAACATTATAATAATAATAATATATTTATTTCTATAAGTACATGTACAAGGTATACAGGCCTAGCTGACATCAGTGAGTTTCCTTCAGTTAGTAAGTTTTTATTCATGTACAGGTTCACAAACATACACATATATATAATGTCATTATTAGAGATTTTGTTCGGATTTTTAACCCTGGAGGGTTAGCCACCCAGGATAACCCAAGAGAAGCAGTGCATCATCGAGTGACTATCCATCTTATTTCCATTGGGGGTCCTCAATCTTGTCCCCCAGGATGCAACTCGCACCAGACGACTAATGCCCAGGTACCTACTTACTAGGTGAACAGGGCAACCGGTGTAAAGAAACACATCAAAATGTTTCCACCCCGCCGGGAATCAAACCTGGGCCCACCGTGTGTGAAGTGAGAGCTTTGCCAGCCAGGCCACGGGATTCGTGTTCATGTAAAATACTGTTTACTGTATTCCTATTGTATCTTTTGCTGTAACAGATTTTCACACAGTTGAGTTACTTAGTTGTTTTAATTTTAACTGATTTCTACTGCATCTAATAACTAGGGAGCTAATAATAAGATATTACGAAGATCTCATGGAAATAAGTCACTGTTTGACAATTTTAGGTTATTCTAGGTAATTTACACACATGTTACTATACAAGACACTTGTAATTGCCTAAATCTTGGGTAATTGTTTAGTGTTGCATATAAGTATATTCATAGGGAAGCACTAAACCCATAGATATATGGTGTCTGGTTAATGGGAGGGGTGAGGTGTAGTCATTTTTCCCAGGAATGGGAGAGTAGCATTTAGTGAGCCATTAACCAGACTAAGCATCAACACACTAAATTAATTTTTTATGACCGAGACTCAAGATTTGGTTAATTAAAAAATCTGATACTATCCTAACACCACAAGACTTTGAAAAAGCAATAAGTGACATGGCCATGCACTCTGCCCCAGGCCCAGACTCGTGGAACTGTTTTCATCAAGAGCTGCGAGAAGCCCCTTTCTGATAGCAATAATTTCTCACATAAAAATCTTTGAAAGGGTTCTAAGAAGCAAGATTGCTGCCCACTTAGACACCCATCAGTTATACTACCCAGGACAACATGTGTGGACATTAACAAAGCCCTTAACCCTTTCAGGGTTTCGGACGTACTAGTACGGCTTGTGCACCAGGGTTTTTGACGTACTAGTACGCCTAAATTCTAGCGCCCTCAAATCTAGTGAGAGAAAGCTGGTAGGCCTACATATGAAAGAATGGGTTTATGTGGTCAGTGTGCGCAGTATAAAAAAAATCCTGCGGCACACAGTGCGTAATGAGAAAAAAAAACTTTGACCGTGTTTTTGGATTAAAACAGCGACTTTGCACTGTATTTTCGTATGGTATTTATTGTTGAATTCTAGTTTTCCTGGTCTCATTTTATAGAATGGAAGACATATTACAGAAATTGAGATGATTTTGACTGGTTTTACAATGAAAAGTACCTTAAAATTGAGCTCAAAGTAACAGAAATGTTCGATTTTTACCAAAGTTCAAAAGTAAACAAATCATTCTAAGCGTCCAATACATGTCAGCTGGTGAGTCTAATATTCTTTCACAAGTGCGCCAATATTATTTATACCATTTCTACACTAATGCAGTAGTCTGCATAACAGTAAATCTTCAATTTTTTGTGAGAATAAAAATTCAAAGTGGAAAGCAAAAGAATGCAAGAGGGGCATGGGGACGTGACTAATGAACAGAGGAAATGTTATTTTAGTGCCAGAAATGTCTTGTTTATTCTGGACCCTATTTGGAAATTGGCATCTTTTGAAATTTGTGTGAAATTGGCAAAATTGCTAAATTCTGTCCACTGTATTGGATAGTTGAAATTGGAAAATGGGTGGTTTCTTGTGCTCATTCGATAGAAAAATTGGAGTTCTAGAGAAATAGTTATGATTTTTGTCGACTAGTACACTGGAATTGGCCAAAAATAGGGCTCAAAATGGACAAAATCACTGATGCGTAAACATCGTCGAGACCGCTAACTTCGCGAGAGCATAATTCTATAAGTTTTCCATCAAAATGATCGGGAAAAGATTCTTTATCTTTTCATAAGAACAATAATTTAATTTTTTTTTTTTTTTTGAAATTTGGGAACCCTGAGAACACGTCTCTGAGAGGGCCTGTGGATCCTGAAAGGGTTAAATGTGCATCAGAAAGCAATATGAAGTTCAATGAAGACAAATGTCAATTGCTCCACTTTGGAAAACTCAAGGTAATTAAAACTGTATTGGAGTATAAAGCAAATTCCAATCACACAATAGAGCAAAAACTAACGTGAAGGACCTTGGAGTGATAATGTCACTTTCAAAGATCACAAAAATGTATCTACCACATCTGCTAGGAAAATGATAGGATGGATAATGAGAACCTTGAAAACTGGATGCCAAGCCCATGATGATTATCTTCAAATTGCTTGTTCTCTCGACGCTGGAATATTGCTGTGCACTAACAACCACCCTTTCAAGACAGGCGAAATTGCAGACCTTGAGAATGTACAGACCTTTCATGGCATGTATAAGTATGATAGAGGACCTAAATTATTGGGAACTGTTGAAGTCCCTTAACCCCTTCAGGGTCCAAGGCCCAAATCTGAAGTGGTGCCCCAGTGTCCAAAGAATTTTAAAAAAAAAAAAATTATTTTTTCTTATGAAATGGTAGAGAATCTTTTTGTGAAGGTAATAAAACAAAAGTATGAAATTTGATGGAAAATTGACGAAATTATGCTCTCGTGAATTTTGATGTGTCAGCGATATTTACGTATCGGCGATTTTGCCGACTTTGACTCCCATTTTAGGCCAATTACATTATTCCAGTCAACCAAATTCTTAGCTATTTCACTAGTATTACTTCTATTCTATCGATTGAGCACAAGAAATCGCCAAGTCAACTGTTTCAACTACAAATTAAAGTGATCGGAAATTGTTAATTTGGCCAATTTAACACAAAGTTCAAAATATTCCAGTTTCAAAATAGGGTCCAGAATAAACAATGTAGGTATTCCTGGAACTAAACTAACATTTCCTCTGTTCATTAGTTATGTTTTGAGGCTTTACAAATAAATTCCATTTTGATTTTTTATTCACATAATGAATTTTTATTCACACCAAAAAATAGAAGATTTACTGTTATGCAATACTGTAATAATTGTATAAATATCATCACCATATTTGTGAATTCATATTAGACCCACCAGCTGGCGTGTATTAGATGTGTGAGGTCGTTTGTTTACTCTTGAATATCGGCAAAAATTTAACATTTCTGCTACTTCGAGCTCAGTTTCAGGCCATTTCCAGTGCGAAAACCAATCAAAATCATCTCTATTTCTGTAATATGTCATCCATTCTATCAAATGAGACCAAGAAATCGCAAATAGAACTATAAAAAACATACGAAAAAACACTGCAAAGTCGCTGTTTTAATCGAAAAATCATGATTTCAGTTTTTTTCTCTCATTATACACAGCGTGCCGCAGGATCTGTTTTATGTGGTGCACACATACCACATAGATGTATTCTCTCATATCTAGGCCCAAATGTACCACTCACAGTTTATCAGAGTGAGCTGAGCTCATGACGTAGATCTACGGTTTGGACCCTGAACGTAAAGCCGTAGATCTACGGGACGGACCCTCAAAGGGTTAATTTGTACTCCCTGGAATGCAGGTGAGGAAGATGCATGATAATATACACTAGGGAAATCTTAGAAGGATTGGTCTTAAATCTGCACATGAAAATCACTCCCTAGAAGGCCAGAGACTTGCAGGAGATGCATTATCCCCCCATGTAAAACAGGGGCACAATGAGTATGCCAAGAGACAACACAAAAATTGCTGGGGGGCGGGGCCCAAGACTGTTCAAGTTGATTCCTCCCAGCCAGGGATTACCAGGGTTGTCTTCAATTGAATTGAATTGAAGGAGGAGCTGGACAGGCACCTTAAGTCAGTACCTGACCGGCCGGGCTGTGGTTCATACATTGGTTTGTGTGTGGCCAACAGTAACAGTCTGGTTGATCAGGCCCTGATCCACCATGAGGCCTGGTCACGGACAGGGGCCATATGGGCATTGACCCCGAAATCCCCTCCAGGTATACTCCAGGTATCCACCTACAGTTACATATTACATTTTTTTTTTTTTCCAATTTTGAGACCCAAAAAAAAGTCTGCTTTTTTTATGGGTCAGAGGAATTTAGTGCCCTATTTTTCCTGTGTGGTGTTCACTTTATTTTACGCAATTTTTTTTTATGTGCATGCCATTTTCAAGAATGTAACTGCCATGTTAATTGATGGTCAGCCTTGGTATATTGTCACAGTATAACAGCATTGTTTATCAGTCATATGATTACAAGCATTGATCCTGATATCAATCTTTTATTAAATGACTTAAACGTATTGAACAGCAACTGTAATTATTATATAGTAAACCAAGCAAAGGCATTACTCGGATCCAACAATAACATAACTATCTTTAATTACAGTGTCAGATCTTTGAGCAAGCATTACGATAACCTCACAGCATTACTCATTTCCCTGCATACCAGTATGTTGATCATCACACTCACTGAAACCTGGCTAAAGCCTGGTACTACAGATGTCTACCATTTCTGGTTGCACAGTCATACACAACTGTAGGACAGACCAATTACCTAAATCTTAACACTTCAAAATTTAAATACCCAAAGTTCATACATAACTTAATACTACTACATTGTAGTATAAATACCTGCACAAAACTGTACTGCCTTACACCATATTGTAGCATTCTCATACTGTAAACTACTTTCACCAACGCTCAATATTATATTCCAATAATATAATTTAAATATTTACTATTGATATACACAACCTACAAAATACCTTCAAATTGTCCCACTGTAATATCCGCAGACTGTAACTTGAGTTGACTTACTGTCTGCTTTAAATAAAAACAGATGTACAACTTGAACAAACTATAATCAATTTCTCTAGTATTAAGTAGTCTGTAAGCCATTAATTTAGTCTGCCCATAATGCCATGGCATGATAGTGGCTCTCTTTGCACTGCAACTCTTTATTGTAACTACAGAATCTCAATGTAAACTTGCAAAGAAATAAAAATTGTATTGTATTCTATCATTGTATCTGGATATACAATTACGTATAAATGCCATTTATAAGTGCTCAGAAAAAATGTTATTTGGTAGACACAGTGGTACCTCGAATTTCGACCATAATTCATTCCAGAAGGCTGTTTGAGTGCTGTTACCGAACGAATTTGTTCCCATTAGGAATAATGTAAATTAGATTAGTCCGTTTCAAACCCCCAAAAATACACTTACAAAGGCACTTACAAAAATACACTTACATAGTTGTTCGAGTTGGGAGCTGTTTGAAATTCGGGGTACCACTGTATTTTATCTGTGGTGTACTCTTGAGTGAATGTTGTATTTTGAAGAAAAATTTAGCTTTAAACAAAAAAAATAGTTTTTTACTTCTCTTGAGCTGATCTTCTACTTGCTAGCATCTATGCTGAAGATGTTTGCCAACTCCTGAATGGGTTCAGACTTCAAAGAGGCATTTATCACATCTAAATTTAAAAAAATGTAAATGGCAGAAGAGGTACTTTTATAATTTAAATCTCCTTTTAAGTAGATTAACTTTTACACAGCAAGAGATGCTATGGGAAGGCACTGTATTTGCATGGCAAGATGTTGGAACACCATGCCAGATTTTACAGAGGTTGATTTTTTTTTCCTCTAGTACATGATGACCTAAAGAAAAGCACATTTGCCATCACTCATCCCGTAGTTTTCTTTATAGAGCAGCAAAAAAAAAAAAAATTTAAAATTAAACTAATGACTGTGCGAGAGACTTGTCTTAAACTTATCTTGTGAGATGGCTAGTTATCCACTATAATTAATTTAATTTCAGACCCATGTTTCGGTACCGGGCTGTATTATTGCGGGCAAGATTTGAGGAAAACAAAAATATAAAGGATTTGCGAGTAGCTGCTCAACTGTTGGATGAAGGAGAGAAGGAGCTTTTCAGTCTACAGCATTATCAACCACGGCAGTGTTAGTAATCTTTTCTAACCTATGCATTTTAAAATGATTTTCCTGTTACCATTGTAAAATCCTTCTTTGGTTTAATTATCTTTTATATTAACCCTTCATGGCTAAACTTCTAAATTTTTACTTTGAACTCTCCAAGTAATTCACTAGCTTTAGATGCATTTTTAATATAATCTTGAATACTTCAAGCTCAAAATATTCTACTTTGTAATGGACTTAATTTTTTGCACACGTATATCTGCCAAAATTGGTTAAATTGTTGCTTTTCTTTTGTGGCAGATGTTGCAAATGTATGGAATATGAGGTGGGTTATTGAAGCCGGTGAAAAGTTTTTACAAGGGTAGTGAGGCTCAGGTTAGAGTATATAGGTGAGAGGGGGATTATTTCCCAGTAAAAGTAGGCCTTAGACAAGGATGTGTGATGTTACCATGGTGGTTCAATATATTTATAGATGGATTAGTAAGAGAAGTGAATGCTTGGGTGTTGGCAAGAGGTGTGGGGTTAAAAGATAAAGAATCTAACACAAAGTGGGAGTTATCACAGTTGCTCTTTGCTGATGACACTTTTGGGAGATTCGGAAGAGAAGTTGCAGAGGTTGGTTGACGAGTTTGGTAGGGTATGTAAAAGAAGGAAGTTAAGTGATATAGGAAAGAGTAAGGTGATGAGGATGATAAAAAAAAGTTAGGTAATGGAAGATTGGATATCAGATTGGAGGGAAGAGTATGGAGGAGGTGAATGTTTTCAGATATTTGGGAGTGGACATGTCAGCTGATGAGTCTATGAAGGATGATGTGAATCATAGAATTGACGAGGAGAAAAGAGGGGAATGTATGAGAGTATAGTTATACCAATGCTCTTGTGTGGGTGTGAGGCATGGGTTGTGAATGTTGCAACAAGGAGAAAGCTGGAGGCAGTGGAAATGTTATGTCTGAGAGCAGTATGTAGTGTGAATACATGTATAATGCAGAGAATCTGTAGTTTGGAGATTAGGAGGAGGTGTGGGATTACCAAAACTATTATCCAGAGGGCTGAGGAGGGGTTATTGAGATGGTTTGGACATGTAGAAAGGATGGAGCGAAATAGAATGTCTTCGAGAGGATACAAATCTGTAGTGGAGGGAAGGCCTAGGATAGGTTGGAGGGAGGGGGTAAAGGAGGTTTTGTGTGCAAGAGGCTTGGACTTCCATCAAGCAAGCGTGAGCATGTTAGACAGGAGCAAATGGAGACAAATGGTTTTTAGGACTTGATGTGCTGTTGGAGTGTAAGCAAGGTAACATTTATGAAGGGATTCGGGGAAACCGGCAAGCCGGACTCGATTCTTGGAGATGGGAAGTACAGTGTCTGTGCTCTGGAGGAGGGGTGTTAATGTTACAGTTTTATAACTATAGTGTAGGCATGCCTGTGGCAAGACAGTGATGGAGTGAATGATGATGAAAGTTTTTCTTTTTCGGGCCACCCTGCCTTGGTGGGAAGCGGCTCCCCCCCACCTGACTTTCTAATACGGTCACCATGGGCCACCCGGTTTGTTTACATTCTCCGTGAGCACCGCGTCTCTCCATTATGTCTGGAAACGTTCCAAAATTTCAAGTGTTTTAAAGTTGCTTCGTGCTTCATATATACTCTGATAATTATACTTATGTGTACCTGTACCTAAATAAACTTACACACTGTGCTGGCATGCAGGTACACATTAAAATCACTAGGAGTGTCTTATTAGTCTTGTGGATGCCATATTAATAATAATATGCAATAATAATGGAATAATAATAATAATACTGGAATGGATCAAAGTAGAATGACTTGGAGAGCGTATAAATCTGTAGGGGAAGGAAGGAGGGGTAGGGGGTCGTCCTCGAAAAGGTTGGAGGGAGGGGGTAAAGGAGGTATTGTGGGCAAGGGGCTTGGACTTCCCACAAGCATGTGTGAGCATGTTGGATAGGAGTGAATGGAGACGAATGGTTTTTGGGACTTGATGAGCTGTTGGAGTGTGAGTAGGGTAATATTTTGTGAAGGGATTCAGGGAAACTGGTTAGCCGGACTTGAGTCCTGGAAATGGGAAGTACAATGCCTGCACTTTAACCCTTTGGGGGTTTCGGCCGTACTAGTACGGCTTACGCCCCAGGTTTTTTGACGTACTAGTACGCCTAAATTCTAGCGCCCTCAAATCTAGTGAGAGAAAGCTGGTAGGCCTACATTTGAAAGAATGGGTCTGTGGTCAGTGTGCGCAGTATAAAAAAAATCCTGCAGCACACAGTGCGTAATGAGAAAAAAAAACTTTGACCGTGTTTTTGGAATAAAACGGCAACTTTGCACTGTATTTTCGTATGGTATTTATTGTTGTATTCTAGTTTTCTTGGTCTCATTTTATAGAATGGAAGACATATTACAGAAATTGAGATAATTTTGACTGGTTTTACAATGAAAAGTACTTTGAAATTGAGCTCAAAGTAGCAGAAATGTTTGATTTTTACCAAAGTTCAAAAGTAAACAAATCATGCTAAGCGTCCAATACACGTCAACTGGTGAGTCTAATATTCTTTCACAAGTGCGCTGATATTATTTATACCATTTCTACACTAATACAGTAGTCTGCATAACAGTAAATCTTCTATTTTTTGTAAGAATAAAAATACAAAGTGGAAAGCCAAAGAAATGTAAGAGGGGCCTGGGGATGTGACTGATGAACAGAGAACTTGTTATTTTAGTGCCAGGACTGTCTTGTTTATTCTGGACCCTATTTGGAAATTGGCATCTTTTGAAATTTGTGTGAAATTGGCAGAATTGCTAAATTCTGACTTTATTAGATAGTTCAAATTGGTAAATGGGTGGTTTCTTGTACTCATTCGATAGAAAAAATGGAGTTCTAGCGAAATAGTTATGATTTTTGTTGGCTAGTACATTGGAATTGGCCGAAAATAGGGCTCAAAGTGGGCAAAATCGCCGATGCATGAACATCGTCGAGACCGCTAACTTTGAGAGAGCATAATTCCGTAAGTTTTCCATCAAATTTCATACTTTTGGTATCATTATGATCGGGAAAATATTCTCTATCTTTTTCATAAGAAAAAATAATTTATTTTTTTTTTAAATTTTGGCGACCCTGAGAACAAGTCTCTGAGAGGGCCTGGCAACCCCCAAAGGGTTAAAGGAGGGGTTTGGGATATTGGCAGTTTGAAGGTTGACTTTTAAACTGTCGTATCTGAGCGCCTCTGCAAAAACAGTGATTATGTATGAGTGAGGTGAAAGTGGGTCACCCTGCCTTGGTGGGAGACGACCAACGTGTTGAAAAAATAATGAGGTTAAGGTTGCAAAAAGCTGGAAAAATGGTAAGGTGGATAATGAGAACTTTAGAAACAGATATTGCCAATGTTGGCACTGATAAAGTCACTTGTATTCTCTGACTGAGAGTACTATTTAATGTTTACAGCTCATTCAAGGTAGGAGGGCTGTCAGAGCTGAAATAGATAGTTTAGTGCATAGAACCAGTGAAATATTTAAACTACTGGGAATGCCTCAAAACTCTGAATATGTACTCTCCAGAGTATGAGAGAGAAATGTACATTGCAGAAGAAACTGAAGGGCCTAGTCTATACACTATACAGTGGACCCCCGCATAACGATTTTAATCCGTGCAAGAGGGGTAATTGTTATGCGAAATAATCGGTATGTGAATGAATTTTCCCCATAAGAAATAATGGAAATAAAATTAATCCGTGCAAGACACCCAAAAGTATGAAAAAAAATTTTTTTTACCACATGAAATGTTAATTTTAATACACACAAACTGAAAAAGGCATGCACACTTACATGACACTTACTTTTATTGAAGATCTGGTGATGATTGATGGGATGGGAGGAGGGGAGAGAGTGTTAGTGTTTAGAAGGGGAATTCCCTTCCATTAAGACTGAGGTGGCAAGTCCTTTTCTGGGTTACTTTTTTCCCTTCATATTTTATGCCACTAGGACCAGCTTTCAGAGTCATGGACTTCTTTCGCACAACATATCTGTCCATAGTGGCTGTACCTTCTCGTTCCTTTAATATTTCCCAAGTGTTTCAAACATTGTCAGTGTAATAATCAACAGCACGGCTTGCAATAGCTGTGTGAGGGTAATTTTTCATCCATGAAGGTTTGCACTTAAGCCACTTTGCACAGATTTTCCTGTATTCTTTGTAGTAGGCAACTCTTCAATTTTCTCTCTCCCCTCCTCTGTACCAGTTTCCTCCAGGTATGGCCTCTTGCTGTTGAAGTTGAATCTATCAGCTCATCAGTGGTTAGTTTTCATGGTCCTCCTCCACCACACTCTCCACATCACTCACCACCTAACCTCACAACCCCAAGGACTTTCCAATGCCACAATGGGATCCGCATCTGGAATAATCACTCTCAGGCGTTTAGCTAAAAAACCCTTCAAAATCCCTTTTGTTTCACATTCTGGCCACGTTTCTTCCATAAGCAGAGTTTCAAGGTCTTCTTATTCACTCCCTCCAAAGCCTTACCTATAAGGTTATACAATTGTGGAGATTAAAGTGATCTCTCCAGGTAAACTCTCTTAGAGTCAGTTGAGTTTCTGAGGTCACTACAAAGTCACCTTTTCATAAATCAGAGCTTTTGTGTACAGTTTTTTGATGTTTGCAATAACTGCAGGGTCCCATGGGCGGCCGGAGAGGAGTGGTATTTGGAGGCCAAAAACTTAACTTAATGAAGTCATGTCCCATAAAGTCGCTCTGCCACGTCTGTTGGATGACCAGGGGTTGTCTTACACAGGAGGCACTTAAGTTCTTAATTTCTTTTCAGTTAGGGGTAATCTTTCAAAACTTGGGGGCAAAGGCATGGGGTTACCAGTTATAGAAAAAGTCCCATAGGACCCATGCATTAATGTTTGCCCTCCACAGCACACACAAATTATTTTCCTTGGGAACATTCTTTTGCTGTCGCTCTGGAGTTTCAGTGTGACTACACAATAAAGGATTAACTTTGCAATCACCACCTAGATTGGCGCACT